TCTTATTGGGAAAACTCGACCTTTGAGAGGGTCTCACGCCCTTAAGAGTAAGAATTTCAAAATTCTAAAACCTTATTGCAAAACTACACATTGAGACAAATCTTTTGACACCTTAAACGTTGGAATTGGTCCACAAATAAGGGAGGAGTTGCGTTAACAAAAAACGGCTTCACGTATTATATACAGGGTGACAAAAAAGTCTGGAAACGGTTTAATATCTTTTTAACTAAATTCGTTAGAAATTTCAAACCTTCCACATCAACTTACATGTATAAAAACTACTTTTTCCAAGAATTATCATTTTTTTACCTCTACCAGGGGACGACCCATGAGGAGTAGGTACATAATCTTTAATGTAAGCATAGGTTAATATGCACATCATTTTAAAGGTCTGGTCAAGTGGGGTTCATTGCCGGAAACCACGCCAAAAAAGATTGATCCGTTACAAAATGGCGGCTGTCCAAAGTTCTTGTTGAATATACCTGCACAGGGCTTACTATTGGTAAATACTCGTATTAAACATTAGCTTGAGAGCTGAAACTGTATTTTAAAGTCAACTAGCTCATAGACTAATATTATTCAATCTTCAAAACAAATTTAAACGGGTTTCAGATTTCCCGGCTAATGTTGAATATTAGTATTTACCAAATCTTAGGCTTCTGCAGGCATATTCCGCAAGAACTTTGGACTGCCGCCATTTTGTAACGGATGAACCTTTTTTGACGCGGTTTCCGGCAATGAACTCCACTTGACCAGATCTTTAAAATGACGTGCATATCAATCTATGCTTACTTTAAAGATTATGTACCTACTCCTCATGGGCCGTCCCCTGGTGAAGGTCAAAAAATTGTAATGCTTGCAAAAAGTAGTTTTTATACATATCAGATGATGTAAAAAGTTTTAATTTTCTAACAAATTTAGTTAAAAAGATATCAAGCCGTTTCCAGACTTTTTTGTCACCCTGTATATAGATTTTGCTGAATAAACGAATTGTGATTTATGACTTATTTTAGCATCCTCTATGCATGAGGCAGTAAAAGTGATAAATTCTTTTTGTGACTCGAAACTGGAACTCGCCTTATGGTATTTTGAAATTTATTTTAGCGAATTTCCCATATAGGGAATAAGCTATTACCGTAGTACTCATGGTAAGACCTGGACGCGGGACCGATTTTTTGTTCATTTTGAGGTCCCTAGAGGCCAAAAACACCATCCATTCAAATTCATATATATATATATATATATTTATATATATATATATATATATGTGTGTGTCCGTTAGCGCGATAACTCGAGCAAAAATGATCCGATTTTGATGAAATTTGGTACAAACGTGTAAACCTACGTTTATTCGAATGAGTTCGCGATCCAGCATAATCGGACCATGGGAACTGGGGTTTATGGGGGGTTTTATGGGGTAAAAATGTGTTTTTCCCATTTTTTACCCTAAAAACAAAAAATTTTGCAATTTATTTCCAAACCGTTTTGTAGAGCTTAAAAAAATAAATAATTTAGTATATTGAAGCGCTGTTGTATGCCTAACGGTCACGGAGAAAATTCAAAAATAGTTTAATTTAAAATTCCCATGTTATTCTTATGGAGAAAATAAAAATTGTTGTAGTTTACTTGTTTATGGATATATATTGATAAAATTTGGCAAATTTATTTATTTCATCCCATACTATTCACGTATGGTCAAAAAACACTTTTACCTTCCCCGTAGCAGCAAACCTAAGCACTTGTTAAATTTAATGTTATTTAAATAGGGAATAAATATGTCTTATTTATGGAAATATTTGAGTAAAAATGTAATCAGACAAGTTGAAATTCGCTTAGTCTGCAGGTTTGCTGCGGCGGGGGTATTTTATACTGATTTTAGTTTTAATTGAGAGTTTCACAGCGTTAATTACACGAATCCTCTGAATTGTCTACACAAAATAACTGTAGCCAATATTTTAAAATCGTAAATTCCCTGTATTGTTTTGGACATTGTAGCTTGTGAGGTGTGTATAAATACTAGGTAATCACTGATGGAGTATTATAGTAAAAGAAATTGATTTATTTTATACACGTACAGTAGTACGTAGCCTATAGTAAAGTAATTGGTAGTTTAAAAAATACAGCCAGTAGGCCTACTCTATAGAAATGCATTGTTAAAGGAAATGTGGGTAAACATTTACTTCACATTCAGTAAGAGAAACTATATTCATGCGATTCCGCAAAAAGTCTGTAAAAATATAGGTACCGAAACTCACAATGACAATACATTTTAAGTGTTTTTGCATTTCAATCTCGTAAAAGGCAAGCAATATCGAAAATGGCCATTTGTTTGTTAACTTGTAGGACAATAATTAAACAGGAATGGAGGAATGAGCTAATGTTATGAATTTTCTCATATGAGAATGAGTAAAAAGTAAAATATATATATATTTCAACACATTCCTAACTTGACGAATATAATTTATATTCGTCAAGTTAGGAATGTGTTTAAATAATTTGAAAATTGGACCTTGTGGACACTCCTCAGACAGGGAAAGTATTCCTGGAGTAAAATACAGCGAAGCATAATCCAAGGCTCGTCCAAGACACGGCTGTTGACAGTTTGTTTTTCAGCAGATGAATGGAGTACGGATGGATGAATGAAGTCACCTTCGCGGTTACCACCATTTATATGTCGATGGTTACCACTCGACTCTTGGCAGATCGTTGCGATTGTGCGTAGTTGCATACTGCGAGGGTAACTCTGCGCAACCGGATACTGTACCAATACACGTGCATTTAGTGATATGATTATTTAGACTTCAATACGTATTTTAATATTCAAATACAACTACCTTGCTCAAATTATTTCCATTCAATCTGGGTTATTAACAATTTGTAACACGTTTCTATACAATTCCCGTTTTGTTGTACCGGTAATGATTTATATTAGCAATTAATTGTACTAATCCTACTAATATTATAAGTGAGAAAGTTTGGATGTATGGATGGATGGATGGATGTTTGTGACAAGCAAGCGCGAAAAATACTGGTCGGATTGGGCTGAATTTGGTGTGACGATGATAGCTCACATTCCCGATTAAAATATAGACATACTCTTATCTCAAAAATTCTTTCGGACTCTGGCCCAGTGGCACTGGAGTTTCTTATGTTAACCTTACGAGTATTTGATATATTTGTCTGTGATATATTTGATATATAGTTGATATGGTTGAAAACGATTATTTCTCATCATATCCCTATTATTTTCATTGCAAGTGTGATCTCTTCGATGTATTTTAGAAAGATAACAACGTAAGTCCTTTTTCTTCTTTACATTTTATGCAAATAACATTACAAAACTTGAATTCACTGAAACATCACCAACAGTGAAACATAACGAGTCAGTGTATGGATGAGCTGTATCACCAACTACAGTATCACCCCATTTTCGTATGGATGTAAACAACTTTGTATCAAGGACGATGGACATCTGTTTTTACGTAAAAAAATGTTAACTTGTAAAAGTTCAGATGATTGACAACAAAATTCAGCAGAAAATGTGAAATTTTAAAAGCCTACAGGACGAAGGGCTTTCACGGGATACTCCAAAACCACAAAAGGCACATCCTAGAGGATAAGAGCTTTAAATTGATACCAAATATGCCTATAGAAATAAATATTTAGGAGTAGATTTGCTGCACACAAAAATCCAACAAATTCTTTTAATAGCATAGAGAGCCTACTCTACTCATAAGGTTAACATAGGAAACCAAAAATTCACAGGCCAACTATTTAAAAATTTACAAAAATGTACAGGGCCACTAGGGTGGAGCCCGAACCGAATTTTGAGATAAGAATATGTTAATCGGGAATGGATCTATCATCATGCCAAATTTCAGCCCAATCCGACCAGTAGTAAATGCGTAATTGAATTCCAAACAAACACACTTTCAAGGGCCTAAATCTAAATCTACTTACTGTACTATATTGATATGAATAAATTCTTGTATTGATCTCTATAACAGTGATGAAGGTAACTTCAGTATGAGAAGACATGCAGCCTCAAAAATAAATGATTAGTTTTTGCGCTACAGCGGGGCCGCATACCCGTACCATAGACAAAAAGAATTAAATATATTCTTTTTGTCTATGCCCGTACGTACAGGTTACAGTCATAAGGGACTATGTTTTATCTATGTTACAGTGTAGAAGGCATTTTCAACAACTGCCAGCTGTGTTGTCACTGTTGCCAGTTGCCACCAGTGTTGCTGTTGGCAGGGGGCGGGTGTGGGGGTGGGGGTCATGTGACCTTTGACCTGGCGAGTCACGTGACTTTATTGTGCTGAGATACCTATCGTGCCCGTAATTCACTGATGTCCCCGATCCCCCGCAATACAGGCTCTTCGCGTTTCTACCTCTACCAGCACGACATAGGTACCACAACATGATGGTAGTGGAGCAATAGCAAAGAGAATGCCAGGGTACAGCGGAGAGACTGCCATACTATTGTGATCGATCATGTTATCACAGACAATGCACCGTGATGTTATGCGGTGACAAATTTAGCAAAGCATGTATAATAACTAAAAGCCAACAGTGCTTTTGCGTGGTTACAAATACTATGTTTGCTATCCGGTTGACCATCTTTTTTTATTAAAGAATATTTTACAACTTTTTAGAGGTCGGCAGATCTTTTATCTACATCTTTTATTTACAAATAAAGGGGCATGTGCATGATGTATCCAGAATCCAGAAGCAAAGGGTGAGCCTCAGCACAAGAGCTGGGCCGCTTTCATAAATGCACAAAAGGTTTTATGTTTCTTAGAGGCGCAAGAAAGAGAATGATTCCCCCACGAGGTAGAGGGGCGCAATTAATTACCTCTTGAGCCCATAGTATCACATACAAACCCAGGCCTGTACAAGAGTAAACTGTACAGATTTTAGTGGCGTGGGTGGGCCCTGGGAACCAACCCCTTGTTAGTTTTATTAATGACTCTTTGACTTAAACTGTGTTACAGAGTGCCCTTCACACTAGTTCTGCACCCTTGGAACCCAGGATGGCTCAGCTGGAGACCCTGGAGGCAAAGGTCAGCCTGGTTGAGTTGCAATTGCTCATTAAGGGCTCATTACTTTACCTATATATTCCTTTGTAATATGGCTTCAATCCCATTATTCATAGATCAATACAGTTCTAAAAGTATAAATTTACTTAGTTTTATTATGTACTAGCTGTTGTACCCGTGCTTTGCAACGGGAAGAGGAAACAAAATAGAAACAATTTAATCTTTACATCTGTTGCATATAACAGTTACACATCCGCCAACGCTTTTAAAAACAAAATTCAACTTTTATGGCCTTAATAGAAACGTTTCAGTTATGACTGTTAAATCTGGTAAGTAGTGGATACCACCATTTTGGTTTTGATTGATTTTAAATCTTGTGTATGCTGATATGAGAAAAACTGACCAAATCTTCGAACAAAACTTTGACATACATGATTTACCTTCATCTCCCTTAATTACATATCTTTAAATTTATTATTGGCATTTTAAATTTCAATTTTGAAGTTGCAAAAATACTAATTATCAAATTAAAATTAACATTTTTTTTTAAATTTCACTCTTATATTTATATTAAATCACAAATTCTTCTATCTTCAGTTTCTTCACTCACAATAAATCATTAGCAAAACTAAGTCAGCTGTTGTAAACTTTAGAAATATTGCTGTGCCTTATCAATCTTTTGAAATACTAAAGAAACTATATCTGTAGGTACTATAACAAATTTTAAACATATAATTTAGCATTAAAGACAGCAGACAAAACTAATATGATTATCAAAGCATCAAGGACTAAACAATGTAATAGCAAATACAGTATATGTTTCATTGCATCTCTAAATCATATTGTCAAACTTTCTTTATTTTTATAGGACAAAATATGATTTTCAATCAAATATAAATGTAAAGGAAAAAAAAAATGAAAGCTCAATAGAGCAATGGGGGAATTGCGGCACCATCTTCAAATTGAATGCTTCGAATTTTTCGTCTAGTTCCCCGTAGCCTAAGCGAAACTGCTCGAATGATGGAAAGCTGGCTTTGGATCCTCAACCATCGATAATTTGGGAGTATGGGTTTCTCCATTTTACAGCCAGGGCTTCGCTTGTTCTTATTTATTTATTTATTTATTTATTTATTTCCTCTCAACGGTTACACCATTTTACAGCGAATATATGGTATGTTACATGTTGTATCTAATAAGCCACAAAATATTGAGCAACAGTAACTACTCTAGTAATAAATATACAATAAATAACAAATAATATAACAATAACAAAAGCATAAAGAGATTTAAACACATTAACAATAATAGTATCAACAATTTTGACTAGATCAAGTAAGTGTAAGTGATTGATGTTACAAACATGGCTGATATTGACAAATAAAACAATGAAGAAATGAAAAAAATTGAATTGTAGGACACTTGATTATGTATGAAGCCTGACTACATTGAGAAACAAGAAACAGTTAATGACACAGAGATACAAAACAACAGCAAAACAACAACAACAACAACAGGGAGATAATAAAATTTGAAGTTATGTAACTAGTGACTAGATGGAAGACAAGAATAGTTAGATAAGGAGCTGGATGACCTTCGATCTGAAGACGTGTGTTGAGACGCCAAAAAAGTCGACATCAGCTCCAACTTCGCTCCCTAGCCGGTATAGGCGAGATATCCCACTGTTGTAAGCATAATATGTTGGGAAGAACTGCCGTTTGAATATGGATCTGGAGCGTGTTCCTCTTGGTGCAGTGAAGTTGATGCAACTAAGAAGTTCTGGGCAGTCCATGAGGCCATTAATTACTTTGTATAAGAAGAGAAGATCCAGAAACTTGTGTCTAATGCGAAGAGGTTGTAGGTTATACTGCATCTCCAGGTCACAAACTGGGGTTTGGGAGTACTGATAACCAAGTTTGAACCCCAACATCTTGATGAAGTGTTTTTGGACCTTCGCAAGCATTTCCAGGTGCCCCACTTGATAAGGTGTCCAAATTGTTGAGCCATATTCAAGTATCGGTCTGATCAGTGTTTTGTAAAGGACAATGAGAGAGTGAGGGTTGGTAAAGTCCTTTGTTGATCTATGAATAAATCCCAGTAATGAATTTGCCCTGTTAATAATGTTGGAAATATGTTCCACTGGATTTAAGGTTGGTGTAATGATGATCCCTAGGTCCTTTACTTTATTCACCCTCGATAGTTTTGAGTCTTCAATATAGTAGTCAAAACCATGGGTTGTGGTCCTACGACAAAATGACATGACTTGACACTTTGAAATATTAAGAGACATTGCATTATTTTTACACCAGTTAACAATGCCATCAATGGAGTTTTGGAGGTCAACATAGTCATCCATGGATCCGATTCTTGAAAACACCTTGATGTCATCGGCAAACATGAGGAACTTCGTTGATATTGAGGCGGCAATATCATTAATATCATTACATTGAAGAGTAGAGGGCCCAAATGTGAACCTTGGGGGATACCTGATAGTACTGCAAAGGGAGGAGAGAGGGCTCCATCAAATTTTACTACAAGTTGTCTATCACTCAGGTAACTTTCAAGCCAGTTTAGTAGTTGCCCAGAAACTCCATATCCAGCTAGTTTGGCTATTAAAAGGTGATGATGTACTTTATCAAAAGCTTTGGCAAAGTCCAAGTAGATACAATCCACCTGGTCAGATTTGGTGAATGCCGTGTTAATGTACATCTGGAAGAGTAGAAGATTTGATATTGTTGAACGTCCGTGAAGAAAGTCATGTTGCTCTCCTCTGAAACGCTTCATATTCTTTGTGGGGGACTCCTTCCGTGGAACATATTAATGGTGTGAAGCTTCCTCTGATGTCTTCGGCTGCTTTGTCATATTTATTGTGTTTCTGAACGGCATGGTTTCGAGATATTGTTCCCCATTCTTGGTTGGCGTAAGAGGGAGCGTCAGCATTAACAATGCGATTATCATAAAACGCTACTCTCTCAGCCTCCCAAATACCATTAACTTTAAAATCAGCTTTTAAAGCAGGCACATTGTTTGAAGGGTCAGCTTCTCTCATAATAGGCTCGACTTCAACCCCTTTCCAGGCCATTGCTATCGCAGCACAGTGGTCTCGATGTTGATCATGCCCATGTTTGATCAATCCTCCTTTTTTACAATTTAAAGCATGTGTGAGATTCATAGGTTGATCACAACCATCACATCGTACTGGTAAATTTCTTAGTGTGCGGCCATAGCGAATTGACAAAGCATCTCTGAATTGATCCGGGGACAAATCCGTATGATCACACATTGGCACATCACATGATTGGCACATGGTGTCACAGTTAACCATTGGCTAGTATTCCCTGCTACAATTCTAATTATTGGCTTCTTTTGAGTTTCAGGAAGTAATTGCATAATTCGTTCATTTTGCTTTAGCCAACGTGTCTTTTTCTAGTTTTCTCTTCTTTTTTACATCTTGTAGTGTTGATACATGATCATTAATCTTTAATGGTTGTCCATTTTTAATGGCTAATATTAATTTTTCTGTGCATTGTTTTGATGTTTTAAATGAAATACCATAGTTCTTGTTAAGCAGTTAGAATTTATTTAACGTAGCCTCCAAATTCATACAAAACATCTATACATTGTAATTTGTATACTGTTTCCATGAAAACATATCAATAACATTATTTTCATAACTTAGACGCTTTAAAAAAGCCAAAGCAGAGCCGGAGTTGATACAGCAACGGTTATAGAATTATTTTCTATAATCATTGACATTAGTTTTAGAATAAATAATCCATGATAAAAAGTTAGGTTAAAATAAACCTACCTCATAGTTATGGAAAATATTATATTTAATTTCTTTGTATCAGCTGTCTGAAATTGTGAAATATGCAGTTTAGCAGTTCTTCTTGTCTACATTTAGATGTCAAAGCAAATGTAAACAAACATTGATAGTGTTCTCATCGCAGGGTATTTACTCAGGGGAGGTATAGAAGAGGCTACGATGACTGCTGAGGGCTTCTTATTAGCTGAGGGAACGCCATTACCGTAACAAAACGATCGTTAGCCATCGGCTTCGGTGGTCTAATGGTTAGCGTGCCGGGCTGATATACTGTAGTTCCCGGGTTCGAATCCCGCCGGTGGCATTAACTTTTTGTCCAAGATTTTTTTTTATTTTCTGCAAGTTTGGTTGGTTTGGTTTGGTTATTACGGTTTAATTTTATTATTAAGTCATTATAAAATTTTAATTGATCAATTTCTAGTTTTATTTTATAAAGAGAATTATTTTTCCACTTACTATAAACTTTTGTTATATTATTTCTTTATCAGCAAGTTTGGTTAGTTCGGTTAGGTTATGATAGTTTAATTTTATAATTAAAAATTAATAAAATTGAATTTTAGGCATTTATAATTTTATTTTATGAACAGAACTATTTTTGCGATTAGTAAACCTTCATTGCCAAAGTGCTTTTTACTACAGCGCTGTTCACGGAGGAATTTTGAACTAAATGCCTCATTTGTACCTCCCCTAAGTCAGACCCTCATCGCAGCCATGGAGACCAATCAATATTTACTTTTAACATGTTCCCCTCAGAACTTTTAAAGCCAAAGGGGCAAAGCCCACGGTCAGTATCGAGGTTTGAATAGTCCTATAATGGTCCTTGGTATGGTAGCTATATTTTTGTAAAATTTAAGCCCAGCTGGTTCAGTAGTTTTTGCACCTATTAGTAATACACATACATACAGACACCATTAGATTTTTATATAATAGTATAGAAGATTGTTTTAATTTGTATTTTTCTCATTGTAAATCTATCTATCTATCTATAATATTAAAACGAAACAGGGTTTTTTTATTTCACGATTCTGTATCAACCACTTGACAGATTTTCATGATTTTTGTGTTGAATGAAAGATAATTTCTAGAACTAGGGAATGTCGAAGCCATAATTTTAGTTTAGGGTTTCAGTTTTTTTAGAAATTAAGTTTTAGTTTTTAAAAAATCTAGCAGCCGACGCTAGCAATTTAAAGTATTTTCAATGCTGGTTTAACTAACAGCTGGTTTATAACTGTCATTGAAATGTTTATGTTACTAGTAAGTAATAAAGAGTAAAATTTGTCACTGAAAAACTCAGGGAAATCTACCTAACTAACTGTACATGTTACATGTTAACATTTGTAGCCTACATGTTGTTATGTATAACACAAAATCGTCTCCTATTTCTATGTATAGTTTGTATGTAAGTAGAAATAACTTCAGTAATACATTCATAAACATAAGGAATTGATGATCATCTCAAACCCTCAAGTCCAGTATGAACCATTCACAAACAAGGTTCCGAATAATTACATTTATTGAATTAAACCACAACTATAATGTTATGTTACAGTGATAGTTTTTTTAAGCTTTCAGCATTTTTTAATGTGATGTCCTCCAATTGTTGAAACAATAGTTTATTATTAGGGTTTAGAAAAATGTCAATCTATTAATTTATAAAATAATATGTGTTGTAAAAAAACGTAGTTGATGGAAATTCAGCTTCTGTATGGTTCAAAGTGCCTTTCGTGTGGTAACTTTATTCTGTATTTCTTGTAGATGGCCAGTATAGAGGTGTCTCTGTCAACTACCCCGAGACGCAAGAAAGCCGCCACCGCACCAGCTACGCCTACCGCCCCCACAACCCACACTCCACCTGCCAACAATCTGTTCCGCTCTGCCAAGGACGTTGCTCAGGAGTTAGAATTGCTCAGGACCACACTTAGAGACAAGGAAAACGTCATCCACAGGTTAGCTGACAAACAGCTTCTCTTCTGTACTAAGAACCGTATAAGGTATAAGGTTACTTCAGTATGTGAAGACATGCAGCCTCAAAAATAAATGATTAGTTTTTGCGCTATTGCGGGGCTGCATAAACTTACGTACAGGTTACAGTGTAGAAGGCATAGCTATAGCTTGTATATCACGTCTGTGCGATTATCTACAATACAATGTTTCAGTGTCTAATATAATATACATTTAGTTAATAACATAATAATGTTGGAATAATAACATCAAAGTTTTTGCCTAGCCAACCTTTTATAGTTAAGGCATAAGTTAGCATATATTTATGGTACCATGGATGGTTTTGTTTGGGATATTTGATATATTTGTCATGAAGATGTATTCCTAATCGTAACTTAAACTATCCGTCTTCTGCCCTTAGTAGCTGGGTAGCTGAGTGGTTATAATGCTCGCCTAGTTTTCAAAAGGCTGCTGGTTTGATCCTGATAAAAGTTAGTAGCTTTTAGATGGTTTAATTGAAACTATACATTGGGCTTTTAATAAATGGTCCTCCTGGCTAATGAAACAGCTGGTCTTTTCAGTTACACAAAGCTACACAAAGGCATCCCACCCCATTCTACACTCATCCTTCACTCTAATTTGGGTTGAAATACGCAGATAGGTGGCATTCCCACATTAAATGAATAGTAATAATAATGTACATAATGTTCTTGAAAATTGTGAGTTTTAACTGTCTATGCCTAAAGAAACAGCTACAGAGATAAATATGTTTGAAAACTATTCTCACCATATCAAGTTCATATTTGAGTAGAAATTCAAACTTTTTAAGAATGAGGGAGAGGGGCCAGACTCAAGGTCCCAGCATGTCAACCGAAGCTTATTGTGCTTCACTAAATATAGTATGTGAACTATTAATTTGTTACTCTTGTTGTGGTTATCGTGTATTTTATGTGATACAGGGCGCTTTCCTTCTAGAGTTGTACGTACCAGGATTTTGCAGACCACTGGGAGCTAAGACTCCTATCCTCCATTAGACCCCTTTCATTCCATATACAGTTATACTATAGCACACCAGAGTCTCTATCAACTAAACCAACATTTCTGTTAAGCAAGACAGGGTCCAGTAGGCCTACTTGTTTTGAAAACCCTTTCTAGTCTTAAAAAAAATATATATTCTTAGTAGACGCACTACTCCACAGTGTCTGCTCATGTTATCTCTCTCTGGTGCAGTTTGAAAGGTCAGCTGTGCACGTCTCTGAGCATCAACAGGTTGTCTGCAACATTCCTCCAGCGACAAGCGTCGTCACAGCCTCTCACAGAGAAGGAGCGTCGTGCTGCCGAGGACAGACTCTCTAGGCTGCGAGCTGAACTGGACACCAAACGACTGGCCATCAAAAATATCAAGCTGGCTCTAGAGCGTCTAGACATTACCGAGTAAGTGTACCAAAGTAGGCACTAGGCATCCCTCACATGTTAAATTTTGTAAACTCACCTTATAATATTCATTTAGGCTTGGCCTATTCTATAAATGTTTAAAGTTAATAAGTTGACAAAGATATATGAATTACAAAAGGTGTTTTATTTAAAACAAATGAACAATTAACATGCAATGAGAAAAGGCTTGACGTTACAATGAAAGGATTGACAATGGTGTGTGGGGTTGAAATTAAATTGAAATAAAAGATAAATTTGAATAATAACTTGAAGGTTCAAATAATTGAGCGAAGCTCTTATACTACACTCCTGCTTTTTTATTACAAATACTCCTCCTGAACGGCTGAAGCGATCTGCATGAAATTTAACACAGTCATAGTAACCAACCATGGGAAGGTATAAATCTGAAACGGTACAAATCGGACCATAGGACTTTTCCCTACATGAATGCAAACTTTTGGAAATTTAACATGGGCCTTATGGGTTAATTGGTCGCCATGTCATTATTTGCGAGTAAACACTAAAAAGTAAACAAGAGCCTCAACATTAGTCAACAAATCTACCACATGATAAATACAGTACAAAAGAAAAAATTGGATAATACTAAAGAGCATATTATAGTATATTGTATGTAATACGAAATGATTAACAATCAGTTCTATATTGAGTGATTAAACTCCATGCCGTTTATATTTAATTGTAAAATGGTTCTGTTCTTTTTAACAACAATAACAATGAATAGTTAACTAATTAGGCCTAAGTTTATGTTGCTTGGAGAAGGAGAAGATAAAACGAGGTCATTAAAAAAACACTACAACATAATTATACCAACAAAAATCACACCCCTTGATTTGCAAGAAACTTTGTAAAAAATGTTCTTGTAGCTAAAAATACAAAATCGTTTTACGAAATGAAATCACAACCACGTGGTTTACAGGTAAGGTTTAAGACTAAATGGTGTAACTTAGACAATAAAATAGTTGTATTGATAAATTTTATTGCACAATAGGGAAATTTTGAAAGTGGTTGACGACAATTTCTTACTTTTAACTGCTAAAATAAAACTAGACCTAAGTTATAGGCCTATACTAAGTGAGGCTAACCCCAATCCCTCACAACAATAATACTGGTAAACAGTTATTGAGGTAATTGAATTGGTGAGTTTTATGAATGTTCAATGCAAATAAGTCTTCTGTACAAATAAATGATTCTTTTTTTAATAATGAAGAAAGAAGACATTGAAAAAAAAATAAAGAAAAGCAAATTCTACATACAATGGGTAATAATAATATAATAATCGTTATTGCCTTTTAATAATACAGGTATTGCTTAGGCCTACCATGATTCATTTGCAGTATCGAAACTATTGAGCGGAGTGAAGCGAAGCTCTTATACTACACTCACTGCCTTTGTTTTACAAATACAGGTCAGGCTCCACCTGACAGGCTTTTAAAAGCGATCTGCAGGAAATTTGGCACAGTCATGTAACCAACCATATGGGAAGGTATAAATCTGAAATGGTAATATTCGGACCACAGGACTTAAACCAATAATAAGGGTTGCCGGAATTAGGCTGATGCACCATATTGCGTTTGGAATCTGTAAATAACTTACAGCATTTTATGTGAGCAAGACGTGCAATTAATGTAGACTTTTAATATCTATCTGATTGGAACATGTTCAATTCCTATTTGCAGTCTACAAATAGGAATTCCACTAATGTGAACCAAATATAACACAATTCGTTGACTTGAACCCGACGTATCATTGACTTTGAATACTGCACATAGACATCCCATATAAGTGAAGCAGAAGTAGGCCTAAGCCTACCATTGACTTCGTATACTGCAATTAGGCATTTTATTTATGTGAACAAAATAAATGGACCATTGATTTATTGAGGATACTGCAAGTAGACTATTCATTTACATGTACCATTGGGTTTGGATACTACAAGTAAACAATCCGTCTACGTGAACCATACGTACTATTGACTTTAGAATCTGTAAATAGGCATTCCATTTATGCGAACCAAATATATCATTGGCATTGGATACTGCAAGTAGACATTTAATTTATGAGAACCAGATGAAACATATAGAATACGGTTCCTGCAAGTAGACGATTCATTCACTTAATCCTGACTTATGATTGACTTTGGATACCTCTGCAAATAGGCATTCTATTTAAAATGCAAAAAAATCATTGATATTGAATATGCTGGCTCCGCTCAATATTGCAAGCAGACAACTGCATTGTACACCTAGTTTAGATGTGATATATCTCAGGGTAGGGTGTCGTGCTGGCTTGAATGCTAAGAATGAATAAATTTGATAGTGTCCAAATAGGCCTAATTAAGGTGTTAAACTTACACAATCTCAACAATGGAAAATCTAATTTTGGTGTTGTCCAAAAGGTAAGTCCAATTAGCACAAAATTTAAAAGAGTTTAAAGAAAAGTTTATACTTAATTTTGAAGATAATGATTGAGTTGAGTCCTCTTGAGGTTTAGGCTACTGTGATATAACTTGAAACTGGTCTTCTTGATGAATGAATTTGATTTAAGTAAAATTTTGACTCCTTCTTCTAACAATTCAACTTTTCCAATGGCTTCCTTCTCTCCCCATCTCCATGTTCACATCACTCATTGTTGAACACATGGGATCACTTTCACTGCTTCTTAAATTTTGATTCCTTAAGACTAATTTCCTTAAGACTAATTTCCTTAAGACTAATTTTGAAATGATATTATATGACATTTAGATGTATTGCAATTCTCTTACATATTTAATAAATAATTAGGTTGTGGGCTTTGTAAAAAAAATATAAGCTATGGAATGAATATTATTAATGATTAATTGAACATATTAATGAAATTTTATAAATTAGGAAAATGAATATTAGGGCAGCCTTTCTGAGGAGTGATTACCTATTAGGTGTATGAATAAAAGTTAACATAAAAAAAAAACTTAATACTAAATAATGAATGAAATGAAATGAAATATTACAATTTGTACCTTTGGCAACGTTCAAGGGTACAACTTTAACATGGTATAGGCCTAGTTCTATATTTTGTCAAATGTACAAATTTAACTTGAGGATTGAATGTCTAGATCTATATGTTGTGAAATGTACAACTTTAACATGGGAACTGAATGTCTAGTTCTAATGTTGTCAAATGTACAAATTTAACATGAGGATTGAATGTCTAGATCTATATGTTGTGAAATGTACAACTTTAACATAAGAACTGAATGTAGTTCTAATGTTGTCAAATGTACAAATTTAACATGACGATTGAATGTCTAGATCTATACTTGTCAAATGTACAACTTTATCATGGGGACTGAATGTCTAGTTCTATATGTTTTCAATTGTACAAATTTAATTGAGGATTTAATGTCTGGATCTATACGTTGTCAAACAAATTTAACATTGGGATTTATATCATTTGCTTATTGTTCAACTTGAACAGATTGTAAATTAAATAAAGTAAAAAAAATTAATGTCTAGTTCAATACGTTATGCTATGTTTACATCCTAATATACAGGGTGATAGTTAAGTCTCAGGACGACTTTATAACTTTAAAACAAAAAGAGATATGGATGACGGTCCATAGGGAGTAAGTTGAAAATATAGACCGTCAGCAGTGCTGCGGTTAGCATAAGTTATGGCGTCCACTGGTTACCATTGCCAGTATTGAACAACATATTGCAAAGAGTTTTTTTAGTGTAGTGGATTTTCATAACAGTCCGATCATTTTTAGTATGATGTGTGCGCTCCAGCATCTGCTGGTCGCATACGGCACCTGCGCTCCTCGCCTGCAGCGGTGTGTGCGCCGTAAATACACGGCACTCCTAGCGGTGGGCACCGGAACCTTCTTTTGACAGTCTTTATTTATTCTATTTATCTATGGTAATCAATCTTTGAACAGCTGACATTTTTTACTTAATTGTTTGTTTGAGGTGCGGTTTGCGGCATTGTTTTTAGTTCAACAAGACCTTCAATTTTATGTACATATCAACCTACGCTTACCTTTAAGATTTTCGACTTACACCTTATGGGCTGTACCCTATAGGTGACAACCGATCACAGTACAGAAGAAAATAGCTTACTATTACCGGTAATGATATACCAAATTTGGTTGTGATTCTCTTTTCTTTTTAAAGTTATAAAGTCGTCCTAAGACTTAATTGTCACCCTGTATACAAAGTTTATAGTGACCTATTACAATGCGCAGTGACTCTCATGTACATAAACTTTGTATATATCAGGATGTAAACATAGCATAGTGACCTCTGAAGATGCCACAAGCTGTGGTGAAAAGCGCATCAGGAAACAAAATCTTCAAGAACTAAAGGCAACTACCAAACTAAAAGATAATGTACCTTTTTAATCTTTTAATCATGGTCTTTAATCTTTTTAATAAACAATGTTCAATCAATAATTATTAGCTTTAACTGAAAGAAAATTGTTACAGTAACTTTTTATACACATTTAAATTTATAACAATTAATAAGAGTCTGTAAAGTGTAAATTCACCTTGTGTAGGCCAATGACTCAAGCTGTAGTGGATGAATGAAAGTTATTACCCCATCAGACATATAGCCACCTACTGAGAAGCATGAATAAGTAGTGCTCCTTTGGTTGTGGGGCACACATGGACTAACAGCCATTGTTAAAACTTGTACCACTCTTCTATTGTCCATTGTATTGTAATGTTATCACTCTTACAATTACAAGGAGTAACAGTTGACTTGTGGATGTATTTTTATTTCGTTTCACTCAATTATTGATCCATGTACTGAATAACTTAACTTTAACTAGCCTATCTACAACAGTTTTCACTATTGAAAGATGTTTGTTGATTTTATGCTGTATTTTATTACTAAAAACAGTTTTACCTCAGTAATAATATACAAATAAGTTTTTGTGCTATACTGTATTAATTGAGCTGAGCAATGCAAAGCTCTTTATCGGCTTCAATGCAAACTTTATAA